ATACAATGGAAATAACAAGCATGGTGGATTGTGCCCATAAACAGACAAAAAAGCTTGGGAAAAACAGGTGGCTCTCGTGGCATCACCAGAGACACTAAGTTTCCTTTCAATGAGGAAGAATGGTCCGTAGGAAAAAGTTTGTTCCCTAAAATGATCAGAGTAGGAAGATCCAACTGCCTCACATAAGTAAGTCTTTTGGAATACAGATCTGGACAGTCAAAAGTATTAAAAGATTGGGTTAGAACCACCTCACAGTGTAGCACAGTTGGTGAATGCAGCCTGAGGAAGGTGTTGATTTAGCTATCTGCTCATTTGTGTGCCTGAGTGTTCTGCAGAGGTTATAAAAGGGTAGAAATAACACAGCTCAAAGGGGAGCAGGTACCAATCCAGTTAGCACATAACTATGGAAATGCATGTCATGGCTTTCTACAGGATGCACCTGTCACTCCAAGTTATCCCAGGACCACAGTGGTTCCTCCAGGTGGGGTCACAGCCATGCCTGGGCCGTGTTTCTTAGGCTAAATAAACCATCACTGCATCTGTTGTGTATGGGCCCCCTAAACCCAGATGCTCAGGAGGTCCAAGCACTTTGCTGTAGAAGGTCCATGAGCCAGGTGGGCAGACTGGGCAAACAACTGTTCACTCAGGTAAGTTTACATAAATTGAAAATGAAAAAAAATTGAAACATTCTAATTCTGTCCTGAGAGTGAGGCACAGGAATGGAAAGTGCGTTCTTCTGAGGTGGGATTCAGAGTTGCCGGGACGGTTTGGGGTGGGAGTTCTGGAGGCAGGTGTGCTGATAACGAAGACAGTGGGCATGTGGGCATCTCCTAAGGACCAACTCAGGATGTTAGGACTGGGGACAGGGCACAGCAGGTAAGAAAAGACTTGGCAGACAGGTAGGATTCTGAAGAAGGCCTCCCAAGTCCCCCACCCCCTGGTCATTTTGTAGTCATGTAATTCATCCCTAGTCAGGGGACTGCTCAAAAGGGATGTTGCCCACCAACGGATCCTAAACCAGGGAGGATGTGCTTGTGGGCTGAACCCAGTCAGGGGACCCTCCTGAGAGCAGAGGTCCCCCTACCACCTGCCAAAGGAGGAAGTCAGAGGGGGAAGTGAAGGGTGAAGGCGGAGGGGCCACAGGCAGGGCCACAGATGGGAGTGCACACCTTACCTGAAACTTGGGCTTCACCTGCAAGTCCTACACCTAGAATACAGCCGAGCCCACCAGGCCTCCAGCCCATGAGACCCTGAGACAGTACAACACACGGTGCTGGTGGAAGCCTGTTCACACGTTTGTGCTCATCTGCTGCAGGGACGGGAAACTGAAACACAGTTGACGTCTGGTAGGACTCACCTGCTTCCAGCTCTGGCCCTTCCCAGACTGGTCATCTGTCACTCCATGCAGGACCCCCTTGAACTCTGAAAAATCACTAAGGCCCCAAAGACACTTTATTTATGTGTTTATGTGTGTTGGTGTGTTTCATATAGAAATGAAAAGTGACAGCTTACGGAATATGTGCTTTTAATTCCTTTAGAACTATTTCCATTATATGTTAACCTAAAGAATGTACTTTGATGATACCTATGTTATATAGAACATAAAAATAATGAAAAGAGCAACTGTGATTTACACTTCTGAAAAAGCTTCATGTGTTGGATAAGCAGAGAACAGCTGGGTTGACATCCTCTGTGTTCACTCTGCCACCTCACCAAATGTCATGTTGCCTCCAGAAAGCCCCCCTGTGCACACCCCAGAGAGTGAGGATGAAGAAGGCAAAGTGTCTGAGTATTGTTGTGAAAACAGTTCATACCCGGTAGAGCCTTGGAAAGGTTCTCAGAGATTCCCTGTGGTCCCTGGGCCACACTCAGAGGACTCATGACAGTTTGTTCAGACTTCAAGCTCCACATCTGTAGAGTGAAAATGATGATGAGACTGAACTGTGTGGTCACTGTAAGGTATTTGCACATTTTCTGAAACATAAAGGGGACTCAGTAGTTGTTGCTCATGGATGTTCTAATCCTTCCTCATTTGTACCTATGAGCCCTGAGTGCAGACAGGGACACATCCTACCTTGGGGGGCCTGTTCCCTCTCAGAGTCACTCTAACAGGTTCCACGGAATCCTACCCTCTACAAGATCTAGAGAAGTGGACATTCACAACACTAATCATTTCAAGAGCGTGGCTGCCATCATTGGTGGTGACTGTCTCAGGGTCAAAGCCCCTGAGATCCCTGCAAGGTCATGGAGAATGAGCACAGCACTAACAGCCGCCCTGCCTGGTCCCCAGTGCTCTTCCCCCAGGGAGTCAGACTCGATCTTCACTCTCCTCCCCAGAGAAAATCAGAGTTTTTCTTTTTCTATAGAGAGAAGATAACTAGGCAGATCATCTTATGGTCCTTCTGGGAATCTGAACTCTCAGTAGAAACTCCAGAGTGTTTTTAGTTCATCTGATTCTCAAATGGAAGCTGTGCCCCTGGGCTTCTCTGAAGGACCCACAGCAAGACCTGCGGCCCCTCCAGTGTCTGGGTCTCCACCTGCAGAAGCTGCAGAGGGCAGGCTGCTGCCCCTGTTCACAGGTGCATCTCTCTCCACTGTGGGGTTTATTCCAGGTCAGAGTAGGTGCTCGTGAGAAAATCCCCCACAGAAAAGACCGTTTTGTGGTGGGAAGTGAACTTCAGAGTGAGTAGTTGAGGGCAGACAGGAGAGCAGCTGACACCACTGTGGCTGTGTGCACGAGACTGGCACTGCTGGGAGCTCTTTCCTCCTGACTCCTATGGGGCACTGCAGGTCAGTAAAACTTACACCTACATTTCTTCTTTCCCACCTCAGGGAACGTCTGCCTGCTGTGCTATGGGCAGAGTCCAGACCTCCCTCAGCACCTCTCATACTCCCCTCCCAGTGTGTGGTGCTCAGAATAACCACACTGTCTCAGCCAGGGCTTTATATCCAGGCATTCGCTCTGAGTAAGGCTATGAGGAGCCAGATCAGAGGTGGTCTGTGTTTCCTAGTCTGAATGAGGAGGGTGACGTCCAGGACAAGTTCTCTCCATGGGAATCTTCCAGGAAGGGTGACAGTAATTCATTGCTTTCCTGAATCCGGGTAAAATGTACGTTTACCATACAATTACTTCCTTTCCTGACCATCCCAGGTGATCAGCTCATGGTGAAGATTGTCAGATTGGAAATCCAGTATGTGATGTAAATATCTGTCCTTTCATTCAACAGGGAGAATGAATGTGAGACTCCTGGGCAGAGCTGGGGAAATGGGACACAGCTCCAGAGCTGAAGAAACTCGGAGTCACAGGACCTCCCAGGTGAAGAGCTGCTTGTGCCCACCTCGCAAACCTTTTTTTGTGTGTCACTAGTGTTTTGTTCTCACCGTGATGTTTTCTTCTCCGTTCCAGTGTGTGCCTGCTTAGGAGGTTGAATCTATCTTCTATTTCATTTTCATGTTGCTAATTTTTAATAGCAAAATGATGACTGTGGTAATGAAAACGAAAATAAAATTATAAGTACATCTAAAATAAAATAATCCATTTATAGAGACACAAAACTAAATAGTCAGGGAACAAATGTTCCTACTGACTAGAAATGTTCCTATTGACTAGTTACTTTCAACAAAGTTATTCTTCTTCATGTTCAGATATGAAATACGTTTCAAACATTACTTACTGTGTTTGTAAACTTACTGTGGCCACTGTGTGGCCAACTGTGTTTGAGTAGAATTTGGCAACACTGATGTGGCTTCTCTCACTTTCCATAACACAGCAGTATTCTTTAATTGTAGGAAAAATTAGTGTCACAAACTTAATGCACATTTACACAGAACCTTCCCAAATGTACTCATATTTATGAGAGTGAAAATCGAGAATTTTGTCTGTTTCTCTGAAGGATCAAATTCTCAGTGTGCTTTTCCAATAAAATAGAAACCATGTCTTGGTCAATAGATCCTGGCACACAGAAGATGCTTAACATACACATTTTTTAAGTAAAAATGACAGTCATCTATTTAACAAACACTTCCTCAATGCCTGTTTTCTTCTAGAACTATGCTAATTGTTATGAGACATAAAGATGTGTAAGACATGTAAGGATTATTTGGTGAGAGGGAATCTCAGCTTAAATAAGTGACATTTGATCTGAACCACCTTCTATTTTTGATATGTCCTGAAGTTTACCCATAGCCTCATAATGAAGACTTAACTATTGTAACTGTTGTTATTGGCCAAGCATGTATTTTGTTTCATTTCTGAAGAGCCTTTCACAAGAACCTAGCCTAACTTCCAAGGGTGGAAAGACCTTGTTTTCAGGTTGTGTGACATCCAGGTCTTCAATGGGGCTCAGGGAGGATCAAGCAGGCGGCCACCTCTCTCTGTTGTAACTGGACTCCCCCTATGATGTCACGGTTCAGATGAGGAAGGTGTGGTGCCCTGAACACCCATTGGGGTAAAACAGTGAGGGCAGTGGTCGTCCCAGTGTGTCAGCACCTGGGTGTGTTTGACCCATTTGCACACCCACCTGAGTGTCCACCAGTCTGAGAATGCTCAGGTACTGAGGCCTGACTGCCCCCCAAGGGATAGACAGTAATTAATAGTACTTTTTAAATTACCGAATTCATCCATACTCATAAGCATTTAAAAATGTGTGAATTAAAATTATATCAATGGTCTTAAGAGATGAAACTCGTAATTATGGGGAACACACTGTCTCCTCCTCTGAATCCTCACTGTAAGGCCTGTGTGGTGCAGAGGGGTTAAGTGATGGTCATGTGTTAAAGGAATTGTTTCACTTGTCATTGCTGCACAGGTAGGAGCCTTCTCCTCTGTTCATACACAGTGAAGGGTCATGGAAAAAGTATAGGTTCCCCTGAAGCCAGGGGTTAGAAAACAGGGGTTCCCCTCAAGCCAGAAACTGGAATTGAGAAGAAAACACTTGATGAGACGCTAATGAGAAATCCGTGTCTCTTGTTCTTTATACCGTAGATGTAAAGACGTCTAACAGGAAATCCAGGTGCTGGTGTTGTGGTCATTTCTTTCACGTGGACCATGTGGAACCTGGGGTGGAGGAGGTAGGACATGAAATAATCTCACATGAAATGTGTGGGTTTCTCCAGATAATAGGGTAAATAGCTCAGGTGACAGAATGAAAGTAACAAGGATGTTCAGCCTGGTGACCAAATAGCTGAACCACCATATTCAAACAATGACCCATATTCTTAAACTTTAATCTTTAAAATGTCAGAATCTTTGATTTTCTGAGTAGGAATAAAACAATAATATAACCTTGGTAATTAATAAAGTGTTAGATACAAATATATATTTTGCCTAAAAATTAACTACTAAATAATACCAAGAATGATTTCTTCAATTTTAATGTTAGTTTAGTGAAATAGTTTTGACTCCATAAAAGGGAAGTCAGGTAATCTGTTTTCAGTGTTCACAAACATGAGAATATGTTATCCTAGGAACAGTTTTTCATTCCTTGCCAAATTTTATGCTTGCTGTTTTAAAAGACTACATCAAAAATGTGGCAGAAATCATGATAAAGGTATGAGTAATTGATATTAGGTAATGGTTTATGAATATGATTCTTCCCTAAGGTAATCAGACCCTATTGGAGAAGCGTCTGTGCCCGAGGCTGAAGTGGGGAATGTATGAGAAAAGTGTGAAACAGCCATCAGAAGTAAGGAAGTTCTCCAAAACTATGGAGATGTGTTAGAAAACAAAAGGGCAAACTTGATGGGTTTAGATCTAGAATAATTAAGAATGAATAAATTTTTTCATTACTAAATTCATGAGTCCATACTGATAGAAAGATGATAGATGCAGACGTATTAAGATATATAGATAATTGATAGATAGGTAGGTACGTGATAGAGCCTTTCCTCATGAGGAAATTGACAACCAATAAATGTACCAGCAGTGATGGAATAAGAACACCAACTTTTGCAATAATCACTACTAGTAATCGAGTCAGGTAAGATAATCAACTGGCACTGAAATTAGTGGCTTAGAAGCTCTATGAGGAACAGAATATTATATAGTAACTTTAATGGCTGGTCCAGAAATTGCATGCGGGAAAAAGATAAAGATTCTACAATGGAAATACTGGGGAGGCACCATGTTCACCAGGCGATCTGAGTGATCGTCACCAGTGATGGAACAGTGAACCTCATGCACCTGCCCATGAAGCAGAGCAGAAGATATTTAATTTCCCTGCAGAGAGTGAATAATCTGAATAAAACAATGAGAAGCTGCATACAGTTCCATTTAGAGAACATTGTAGTAAAAAAATTATCTACAATCTTCTAAAATTCAGTGGTTGTTATGGCAAAGGCAGACGGAGTACCTAGTTTAGATGAAAGGAGACTAAAGATGAATGACATTAAATATCACATGTTATTTTGGATTGAGTCCTGGGTGAGGTGAGTAGAGAAAGAATATTATAGATTAAAGACTCATGTCAATATCAAATTTCCTGATTTGGATAATTGTGGTGAGATTACTGAATGTCTTTGTTTTTAGTGGAAAAAGAGGAATTTAAGGGTAAATGGGTATCATGTCTATTCATACTTTCATCTCAAGTGCTTCATAAAAAGGAATACTCATATATAATAATATAGAGACAAAGAATTATAAGGTAAATATGAAATAAATACTAAAATTTGTTAAAACTGGGCATATGGTTATATTGGAGTTCTTTGCATAATTCTTGACTGTTTTCTATCAGTTTAAATTTATTTTATAGGAAAGTTAAACACAGTTAACCAGTTTGGGGGAGAAGGGGAAGCTTTCAAGGAGTGACAAAAATACAACCTTTCTCTGAGCTCACATTGAGATTAACTCCACTTTGTATTGATTCTCCAGCCCAGACCTTTATCACACTTCAGTTCTTGACCAGGTCTCTGTAAGGAATGAAGGGGAACTGGTCATGGGCCACAGAGTTCGTGCTGCTGGGATTCCAGCTCAGTGCAGAGACAGAAGTTCTCCTCTTCTGGGTCTTCTCCCTGCTCTACACCTTCAGTCTGTTGGCAAATGGCATGATCTTTGCACTCATCTGTCTGGACCAGAGACTACACACCCCCATGTACTTCTTCCTCTCTCACCTGGCCATCATTGACATGTCCTATGCTTCCAACAATGTCCCCCAGATGCTGGCCAACTTAGTGACCCAGAAAAGAGCCATCTCCTTTGTCCCATGCATCATGCAGACATTTTCGTATCTAGCATTTGCTCACACAGAGTGTCTGATTTTGGTGGCTATGTCCTATGATCGGTATGTGGCCATCTGCCATCCCCTTCAGTACACTGTCATCATGAGCTGGACTGTGTGCACAGTCCTGGCCACCATGTCCTGGGCGAGTGGATTTTTCCTGTCTCTGATACACATGCTTCTTCTTCTAAGGCTCCCATTCTGTGGGCCCTGGGAAGTAAACCACCTTTTCTGTGAGATCCTGTCTGTCCTCAAGCTGGCCTGTGCTGACACCTGGCTCAACAAAGTGGTCATTTTTGCTGCTACTGTCTTGGTCTTAGTTGCGCCCTTCTGCTTGGTGCTGGTCTCCTACACACACATCCTCTGGGCCATCCTGAAGATCCAGTCTGGGGAGGGCCGCAGGAAGGCCTTCTCCACCTGCTCCTCCCACCTCTGTGTGGTCGGGCTCTTCTTTGGCTGTGCCATTGTGGTTTACATGGTCCCTGACTCCAGTCAACAAGGGGAGAAGACTAAAATTCTATCCCTCTTTTATAGTCTCTTTAACCCAATGCTGAACCCCCTCATCTACAGCCTGAGGAATGCTCAGGTGAAGGACGCCCTGGGCAGGGTGCTGCAGGTGAGGTCCAGGTGAAGGGAAAACTCACACGGTTCTCCCGATTAGAAATTTCATATACGAATAGGAATTGTTCAGCTTCTAGCTCTGAAAATAGGGTAAACGTCCATAGAAGAGCATAGCTTTTAAGGTTCAAATGGGACAACTATATTATTGGAATTTTTAGTCTTTTTTAAAAAAGTAAATTCTCATGTTCTCAAGCCAGGAATGTTACATGGAGTAGAAATTAAATGTGTGAATGTCGTGTCAACCCCATTCTCTGGCTTATGTACTTAGATATTTGACTTCTTATCACCGTGTGGTAGTTGGAAACAGCAAAGTAAAAGTAATGCCCTATGAGAGACCTTCTGAAGTGACTGAAATTTTAATACAGAAAATGCTGCAGAGTCAAGTGAATGTGCCTCACCGGTTGTGTGGTGAATGCAATGGAAGGTTAAAGAAACTGTAAATTCCTTGGTGAAATAATTTAGTAGCAAAGGGAGAAATTAGGGAAAGACGTAGTGCAACAGGAAACTATGTAGAAATCTTAAAATATCTTAAGGTCAAGTGAAGGACATGTATTAGTAAGTATTTAAATGGCTCTAGAGGTAAAGGTTTTGAGCATTACTCAAAGTTTACTTTTATTCTTGGGTTATGATCTTTTCTAACAGAGCAGGGTTAAATCCCCTGTTGAAGTTCTTGAAATGTTTCCCACCAATATTCTTGTAGCTTCTGAACCACTCAGCTGAGGATGACTGCAGTGGCAGCAAGCAGCAGGAGACAAGTGTGACAGAGCTGAGTGGGCAAGTGGACGTGGTGGGAGAGGATGCTGGGGAGGTTGACCCTTCACTTTCTCCCCCAGATCCCACCCCCTCCCTCTGACAGCTGTCAGTCTGTTCTCTGTATCTATGAGTCTGTTTCTATTTAATTTGCTAGTTTTTGGTGTTCATTAGATTCCACATGTAAATGAGATTGGTGGTGTTTATCTTTCTTTGACTGGCTTACTTCACTTAGCATAATGCTCTCCAGGTCCATTCATTCTGTCATGAAGGGAAAGATTTTCTTTTTTTGTGTCAGTGTAGTATTCCATGGTGTAGATGTACCACTGCTTTTTTATCCCCTCATCTATTGATGGACACTTGGGCTGCTTCCAGTTTTTGGCTATTGTAAATAACAGTGTAATGATCATCAGGTTGCATATACAGGTTCTGACAGATGTGCGTTTGGTAGGGTAATGATGTAGTTGTCATAATCCATAGTTTTAATTTGAACATTTCACTTAAAATGTCACGTGTTGCACTTGAGTGTGATATTGTTATGTTACAGAAATACCTGCTTTTGATTTTGTAATAAGAGGTTTTCTAATAAAAATTTGGTAATACTCTTTGTGCCTGATGCTATATACTTTTAAATTAGTGTTGTAGGCTGGTTTGGATGTAGTCCCTCAAGTGAATTGGCTATGTCATAAGGCAGTTCCATGTTTAATTTTTTGAGGAAACTCCATACTGTTTTCCAGAAGGGCTGCATTCCTGTCAACACTGCAGGATGGTTCCCTTTTCTCTACGTCCTCACCAGCACTTCTTGTTTGTTTATTTATTGATGGTGGCCATTCTTACAGGTGTGAGGTGATTGACCCTGTGGTTTTCATTTGCATCTCTCTAACTTTTAGTGACATTGAGCATCTTCTCTTATGTCTATTGGCCATGTGTCAGTCCTCTTTGGAGAAGTGCATATTCAGATCCTTTGCCCATTTTTCAGTTGGATTGCTTGTTTATTGGTGTTGAGTTGTCTGAGTTTTTTTTTTACCGATTTTTAATGTTGTTAACACCTTATGAGATATATCTTTGGTGAATATCTTCTCCCATTCAGTGGGTGGTCTTTTTCTTTTCTTGAAGGTTTCTTTTCTTTCTGTTTGGGTTTCGGTTTCTTTCTTTTGTTTGCTGTGCAAACACTTTTCAGTTTGATAGAGTTCCATTTCTTCAGTCTTTCTTTAGTTTCCCTTGCCTGAAAAGATAAAGCAGCAAAAATATTTCTAGAGTAAATATTCAACATTTTACTGCCTATTTTGTTCTAGGATTTTTATGGTCAGGTCTTCCAATTAAACGACCCACTTCTCTTTTGAAAAATCTGAGAAGCCTTGTCCAGGTGGCTCATTTGGCTGGAGCATCATCCCATGAACCAAAACGTCATGGATTGAGTTTCCACTCAAGGCACATACAAACATTGCAGGTTCAGTCCCAAGTCGGGGTGCATGTGAGAGGCAA